ACAAAACAAAACAAAAAAACCCCCAAAACAAAACCCTTTAGTATTAAAAGCATTGCTTAAAAAGAAAATTAGTTGAGTTGAATTTTATTAATAATATTAAATTTACTCAATACCCTGAGCCAGACATTCTCATTTTAACATAGGAAAAAAACAAACAAACAAAAAACACAGGCTAGAAATGCTATATAATTTCGTACTAGATGCAAATGTATTACATCATTCTAGAATTTCCTGGAACCACCAAGAAAGAAATCAAGTTAATAGCATGCCCATAATTAAATTACACAAGTGTTCTTTGTTTATGCACTCAATTTCAGTAACTATCTCGAAAGTATAAAAAAGAAGAGAAAATTCCTAAAATAACTCTCACACATAGTGTTCTGAATGGAAAAAGACATGTCAATTGGACAGTTTAATCCATTCAACTAATGAAGGATTTCTTCCTACCAATATGCATCATGAAATGAATGCTTTTAACAATGTGCAGTTTAGAATGTTGGCTTTGTCAACCAGTTGATCACAAGCTTTATACACTGTAATAATTGAGCCCAATAATCACACATTTTTATAATCAAATTTCTTCTTTTGCTCAGAACATTGAATTTTTTTCCTATGAGGATTTTCAAAGTAAATGTCCCTAGCTCCAAAAAAATAACATCTTAACTTAGTTTTTTCTAAATAGTTTACAACATTATTATTAGGCTGTAATGCTAAACTTTAACAATGGATGCTATTACATAATAAGATAGGCTGCATTCAGAAAACTCCCCAGTGTTCCAGGTGAGTGTCAGGAAAGTGAAATAATGCTCTGCTGTGAATCAAGAAAACTGTTCACTTTCTATACACTTGCAAAAATTGTGCAAGCACTCTCTACCTGCTTGCAAAATTAAAAATAACTCCCTGACATAAGCACACGCCACACCCCTTCCCATGTGGTTCCCTTCAGAAAATCATGGTCTCTGACCCAAATTGGAACTTCCTGAAATCTGACCACCCCCTCCTTCTCTCACTGTCCACTCAACCTATTTTTAAACTTTCTTTGCTTCTTCAAAACGCAGGCTCTAACATCTAACCTATCAATTTTATTTCTCAGTTCCCACTCATTTATAAGCCACTTAAATTATTTTCAAGTCATTAAGTAGCCTCCCTCTTGGTAAATTCACCCTAACACTCTCTCCCGCAGTAATTTTAATTACCCTGTCTACAACATCAGGAGCTATTGTTCATTCTCTCTTTGCTCTCTTGTGCCTGAAAAGCTCTTTTCCTTGGTTTCCAGGTAGCAAACCAGCCTGGTTTTCAGCCTGTCCTCTGGCTGCTCTTCCTTCTCTGTCTGATTGCATAATGTGACGTTCCTCATGAGTTATTCTACGAGCTCCCCTTATTTTCATTCTGCAAATCCCCCCAGGTCAGAATGTACACTCTCATGACATCATTACAACTGATGAGAGCTGCCTCCCAAATCCCTCTCTCCATCCTAGATCTTAGCTGGGGTGCCAAGTCTATGTGTTCAACTGCCTCCCCACAGCTCCACTTGGAATGTCACACTATCTCAAATAACATAATGAAGCCAGCAAACAAGATACATGTTTTCCACAACTGAAATGCCTGTTCCCTCTCTCCGTTTCCACCTTTACTTCTAATTCAAGCCACTATCATTTCTTATCTGGATTGCTACAAGAGTTTCTGAATAGGTCTCCTTACTGGTCTTGCCACCTTTCATTCAGTTCATCTTCACACTGCCACCAGAGTAATACTGATGTGATGCTAGGACCAAGGCCCTTCCAAGTCAGATATGTTTCAACGGCTCCCTGCTTCCCTCATGATAATGTCTAAGGCTCCTTGACATGGCTAACAGAGCTTTAATATCTGCTCACTCTTGCACAGTCTTCTAAGCCATATTCAATTCCACTAGTAGTGCCCATTAAATTACTCAACTTACTGTAGTGCTCTAGACCTCCATGCATCATATTACTTCAGCTTTGACCAGAGACCCTGCCATTCCTCCCACCCACTCCTCCTTCAGTTTCATCTTAGATGCCACTTCTTCCTGGAGGCTCCTAACATCTCTCACCCAAAAATTTCAGTTAAGTGTCCTCATGAGCCCCAATTTACTTCTTTCATAGCACTTTTCATACTGTAATTATTCATTGCTTATTTCCATAGGAGACTGTAGCCTTCTTGAGGACCATGTCTCATTCATCACTGCATTTCTAGTTCCTAGTGCCAAAGCTGAATGAGTACTGTTATCAGTTTTATACATCCTTGGGTCAAAGTTCAAATTCTTTACTGTTCAGCCAAACTGCTCCAGAGATAGCTTCAAGTCATCACTCTTTTCACTGCTGTTTCTGTTCCTATTTTCCATTTCTTTCATTCATTTATTTACAGACATTTCACTTTATGAGAATTTTTAATTTCTTTCATGCCAAAATATTTGTTTTAATATTTTATTATAAACCCATTTTATATTACTTCTATGACTAGAAATAGTATTTTAACATTATTAAAAGTGAACTCCAAAGACTGTGGGTTATATTTTTTTCCTAAAGATTAGCAATGAACAATTCTAGAACTTGTTTCTTAAAACCGTGGTGATAGTAATCATTTTAGAAATAGAAAATTAAACCTGTGCCAATCATTATTTTAGTGTTTTTTAACTAACTTATCCTCCACAATCTTCCTATGAGTTGTGTACTATTTCCCATTCTTTAAGATGAGCAATCTGAACCATGGTAAGGTGAAGTAATTTGCCCATGAATATATTCCCTGTAGATAGCAGACCCAGGGTCAAGCCAGGAAACCCAGTTCCACCACCCACATTGCTTTCCATCACTGTCTGTCATCTAGAACCCTCGTATGGTTATGACAACAACGTTTGTCTGCAATTTAGTCCTTAAGCAATGGTCTTCTACAGAGCCTGGGGAGATTAAAGCAAGCTTAGTTTAGATTTGCATTGTGCTAGGGCAAACGAAAGGCCTCAAGGTGCCCAGAAAGAACAGGTAATAACACCACAGTCTGATTTTTATGATAGTAATTTTTCATTCCTAACTATCCTGTTCTTCCATAATAATTCACTCTGTGATCTACACCGCTGCCTTCCTCTTGCCTCCTTTGCCCTACTGCTGCCACACTGGGTAGCCTGCCCCGAGCCATGTGACATCTCTGAGCCTTTGCTCACACTGTTATCTCTGCTCTGAACACCTTTCTTCCTGCTCAGGAGAACTCCTTCAACTCTTGTCTTCCTTGACTTAATTCACTCAACATCTCCTCTAGGAAGTAGTCTCTGCTTCCCTGGGGAGGCACTGACCACTCCCCTTCTCTTGTGTAAGCAGCTTTTTGTAGGAAAGAGCTTTTTGCAGGAGGTCCCTTTTGTCTTGTCACTTTAGCAAAGCTATACTTTAATTAACTTCTGGCCCAAGCACACCTTTCACATCTTTTGATTACACAATACTTTGCCTAACCTGTTGGTTCTCTTCTTAGATCAAATAGAAAGGAAGAATAATTAACAGATGATCAGATCTTTCCCCCAGCTTTCCCTTCAGTAACCTCGAGAGCAAACTGTGTGAAACAGATAACATCTAAAGAAATATCACAAGGAGTCAACAAGTCTGCAGGCAATGGGAGATGTCAATAAATGACTCCCTATCTCAATGATTAACTGAGATTACTTCCCCTTTTTCCCTTAAAAAACTTTCATGGCCAAGCAGAATCTTCAGAGTTAGCTCTGGGACAGGAGTCTGCCTTCTCCCCAGATGCCAGCCTTCTGATTAAACCTTTCCATTCCTACCAGTACTTGTCTCTCAAGTATTGACTTTCTGAGCAGCGAGCAGCCAGACCTGAGTTCGGTAGTACTCGGACTCTCCTCTGCATGGATCTCTCAGCTCACCATCACATGTCTTCATGTTTAACACATGATATTGTGGACTCCATTCAGCCGTGTGGCCACAACACCTCACACAGTACATGCCTCATAGTCGCTATTCAAAACGCTTTGGTTCTCAAAGTTACACTGCTGTCAAACAGAAACCAATGGTAAAGAATACAGTATAATGAATTTAATATTGAAAATAATCATCTTAAAACGTTATGCACTGGAGAAAGATTTGACCACCTAATTTCTTTTGTTCTCTATCTCCCAGTATTATTGTAACCTAGCAATTGACCAATAAGGACTATTCTTCTTGCACTGTAATATGCAGAGTAAGAAACTAAGAAACTACTGTGTAAGCACTTATTGACCGTGGCTTCTTTCAAAAGAAAAGACCTAAAATAGGCAGAAGAGACCACCCATAAAAGGAAATTGTAGGTTTTGTCCAACAAAGCAGACTCATTCTGGAGGAATGAGACTGGTCCCTTCTGTGATCTACCATTTGGCAACTACCTCTGAGATGGCAAGACTCCCAAGGCACAACACTGTTCGACTACAAAACCTTCTCCTCGTGAGCCGCTTCAGCGCATGTTTATTATATCCACATACTTTCCCTGCCCAACATAGTGAGTTCTCATTTGTACCTTACCTAAGTTTCTTACCTATCCTGATTTTTACCTTTCAACCTTAAACCTAACCTTGTTTTTCCTCCTCTTCATTTCTAGCTGTTATCTTCCCTGATACATCCTATTCATTTTACTTATCTATTTTCCTCTATTTTGAATAGTTTTCATCATCTCCTTCAACTTCTAGCTTTAAGCCTATTCTAAACATTATTATTCTTTAAAAAATTCCTTTTAATTTTTTGTTAGCACTGCTGATCCATCACCCACAACTCTCTTGCAGAGAAATAAACTTCCAAAGTGATCCGTAACAAGCAAGACTGGAGTATTGAGAACGCTGAGGAGTCTACAGTCAGGAGAAGATAGATCCTTTCTGACCCCCAGCTGTCCCTGCCTTAGCTTTTTAGGCACCACAGAAAGTCCATCCTAAGCATGGTTCTTTAGAGAACCTTCCTCCTGGAAGCAAGAGAAGTTGTTCCTGGGCTCTAAGCCTCAGCTGAATGTTACCTTTAATTTTCTGGTACTTGAGAGTTATACAATAATGTTGACACTGAGGCAAAAAAAAATGGGCATTTGAAACCACAGTGCGACAAGACAGCCAAGATCTCTGCATTCTAGTGAGGAGAGAACAGAAAACATAGTTTGGGAGGGTGACTACCAGTTGGGGGGAATTGAGCTGAAGTGTGTGTGTCCACCGGAAACAGTGCATCAGAGAAGGTCCCTCTGAGGGGATAACATCACAACTGACTTTGAAGAATAAGAAGGAGCCAATTACGCAAGAGGCAGAAGGAGAATGTTCCAAGGCCAAGGGAACAGCATGTACAGAAGGCAAAGGGCAGAGTTTGGCCTGTTTGATGAGCAGAAATGTCTTCCCTTCCACCAGTCATTTGTTAAATGCTGTCAGAGAATCATGCTCCTTTCCTCCTGGGTACTTCTTTTGGGTTATAACATATTCATTAACATTATGTTTTGGCTACTGTCTACCACTCCCAATAAATTGTAGCAAGTATTTTATTTCCTAACATGGGCCTGGCACTGGGGACCCAAGACCAGCATAGGACCTGGCATATAGAAGGCAAGTATTTATTGAATGAAGGCTGCTAAGAAAAAATGCAGCATACAAACTGTATATGTAATAGATCCTAAAAATAACTTGGACATGGAAACACACGTGTATATAAAGACAGAAGGAAATATACCAAAGTATTAAAAATGGTTGTCCTTTGATTGTGTATGTTTTATACAATTAAGCATGCCTTTTTTTGGGCATATATTTAAAGTATTTATTCGATTCAATGAAACACGGAAAAGAAAAAAAAAAGTGAATGGGCCTCAGCTCTAGTTTATGAAGCTGTATGGGAAAACCAGATGAATGTCATTTATAGTTCATTTTCAGGATACTCATTTTTCACTAGGTTTGGCTACCAATGTTTTTTAGGTTGCTTCGGTAAGCCCCATACAAAGCAGCTTCCTCGTCCCACACTGCGCACCACTGGGCTGGCGACTTCCACAAAGCATACACCAGGGTACATTCCCCCAGGCTCCCCAGCGGGGCACAAACACCCCCCACACAAGGCATCACCGGCCTAGAGAACATAAGGCAACCCCTCCCCCAGGGCACAGCACCAGCCTAGCAGCATCCCCAGACACAGGGGCACTCAAGAGCAAGCCGTCCCCACCAGCACGGGTCCCTGCTCCTGTTCCGACTTGGCTCAGTCCTGGAAACACCCTACAGACTTTTGCTAGGGACCCAGCCTGGTCCGGGGTAAACCCCGGCCGAGCCCACCACCCCTCACCGCTCAGTGCCCACCACCAAGCAAGCCTTCTCCTCGGCCACTACGTGGTCTCCACCCCGGTGGGTCCCCGCACAGCAAGACCCAGGACATTCCGGCCACGCCTTCAACTCTAACTCCGCACGACCCCGGGTGGATCCAGCTTCGCGCCTCCGCCCGGAGCCAACAAGCAAAGCTCACCCGGCCCTCGGTTCTGACCTGCCTGCTCCCCGACCCACTCCAGTTCGCCGCCAGGGCGCACACTCTCTCCAGGCTCCTACCGGAGAATATGGGCAACGGGAGCACTAAAGACAGCAAAAGAATCCCGCCGCAGCACCAAGGAAAAGGGGGACTCTCTGGGCGGCCAGGAGGTGCCTGGCAAGGCGCGCGGCGAGGCGCGCAAGACGCCGTCATTTTTGGGAAAATCAGCGGGAAACCCGAGACCAAGCCAGGAGAAACCTTTTAGATAGAGTTCAGTTACCAGACGCAATAATCCCCGGATTCACAGTGTCCTGTGCGGTCACGCAGGTGGGCGTGGCCTAGAACGCTGCAGGAGCGAAGGAGAGGGCCTTGCGGGGCCAATGGGCGGGCTGCAAGGCTGGGCCTCGGCGCCCGGGTCGGCCCTTAAGCCTGGAGAGGCGGGGCGAGGCCCTTGCGCGGGGCTAACCCTCCCGGTGGGCTGGGAGCTTTGCGCCTCCTTCTTGGACTCGGACTGTCTCTGACTCCTCTGTCTGCAGACCTGAAGGAGAGTCGCGGCGGCTTGCGGGAAATGGCTGGCTCACCGCCTCTACGTAAACAGACCGTTACCAACCTACTCAAGAACGGTGGAAAGGAATCAAGGGCCGGTGCGGTCATCACTGTCCCTTTTCCGGAAAGCTGGACTAAAGAATCAAGCGCATCGACCCGAAAATAGAAACCTAGAGCCCAGCCAGTGGGACACAGTGGGGCAGACACCTCTCAGGACTCCAGTTTGGACCTGGGGCACTCCAAACTGTCCGGACACCTGGACCCTTGCTCAATCTTTAGCATTAGTCAGGCATAATTCGGGACAATAGTTGAGGTTTCCGTGGTTGAGCCTCTGCTTCTGAAGCCTCTCATGGCCTGATTTCAAAATCACGAAAGGTTTGGTCATTGCTCTCCCAACTGCTAAAGTCAATTAGCCTTCCCTGTGTTCCCAGGAAAGGACCCCTGGGAAGGTAAATTGTTAACACCGGGCCATTAGCATAATGGGTTCCAACGCTACCGGGCTTTTGTCCTTGAGCCACTAAATGTTTTGAGGATGAAATATACATGCATGAAAAAGGCAAGGACGGGGTGGGGGGCATTAAGTGCCAAATTTCTTGGAACCAGTAAATGTCATTAGAGTTGGGAGGGGTAGGAATTGGTCAGCTGAAGTGGATAAGGGGGAGAACTTTTCTGTTGAAACGATCTTGCAAACAATGCTGGAAAATTATCAATGAGCAAGATTTATTTGTAGAATTGTAAGTAAACCTGTATGACTAGTAAAAGAAATATAAAAGTAACCTGACTGGTATTAAAGAGCAAACAAAAGAAGCTGACATTTTCTTATTAGTTGGCAAAGAATAAGAAGGTCAACCAACATAAGTAAACGTATTTGGGGAACCAGTACCCTCAAATTTTAGTATTTAACGTAACTTTTCTGTATGTCAAAAGTTTTAAAATGGACATGACTTTTAAACCACCAGTTCCATTTAGAGTTTATCCCAAAAAAATCATCAGAGCTGTGAGCAAAGCTGTATAGTTTTCAAAAAAAAAATTTAAATCTATGTGTCTAGCAAAAATATTAAGGATTTTATAGTAGGTAGTTTATTGTTTAAAAAAAAAAATCAATGTGAGAAACTATGATAAATTCCTGAGTGGAAAAAGCAGACTCCAAATCAGTGTGTACCTTTTTTCATTCCTTTTATTAAAACAAAAGTAGTATATTGATACACACAGAAAGAGATTAGTTGGAAATATACCAAAATTAACCAATAGTTGATAGGATTATGGATATTTAATTTTCTTTGTGCTTTTCAGCTTTCTATACTGACACTATGTTACCTTTGGAATCAGGTAAAGAAAAATAATTATTTACATCCAACCTATATTTCAATTGCTATTTCATTCATAGAATGGTGGGGATAGAACCTGTTATCACACAGAGTTAAGGTATGAGAGGATGGTGAGGAAATGGAAATTCTCCGTATAAACGTCAAATGCATCATCTGGAATTACAAAACTTTATATATATTTTTTTTAATTTTTAAAAATTTTTATTGGACTATTGGACTGTTAGTTTCTGCTGTACTAACTATTGGACTAACTACTAACTATTGGACTATTGGACTGTTAGTTTCACTGTACAGCAAAGTAAATCAGTTATACATATACATATATCCACTCTTTTTTAGATTCTTTTCCCATATAGGTCATTACAGAGTATTGGTTAGAGTTCCCTGTGCTATACAGTAGGTCCTTATTAGTTAACTATTTTATGTATAGTAGTATGTATATGTCAATCCCAACCTGTCAATTTATCCCTTTCACCCTTCTCCCCCGTAACCATGTTTGTTTTTTACATCTGTGACTTTATTTCTGTTTTGTAAATAAGTTCATTTGTATCATTTTTTAGATTCCAGATACAAGCAATATCATATGATATTTGTCTTTCTCTGACTTACTTCACTCAGTATGACAATCTCTAGGTTCATCCATGTTGCTGCAAACGGCATTATTTCATTCTTTTTTATGGCTGAGTAATATTCCATTGTACCACATCTTCTTTATCCGTTCCTCTGTCAATGGACATTTAGGCTGCTTCCAACAAAACTTTATATATTTTTAAACAATTTTATATGTGAGACGTACTAAAGCTATTCTGGGATGAACAAACCATGGAATTTCCTCTTCCTCCCAGACCAATACAATTTTTTGAATTCTTGGCAGAGCATATAAACACAAAATGTGGATGTGATATATAAAATATACACCTTAGTATTGGGGGTTATAAAATCCATAATTTTATAATTAAGGGGACAGTGAAAGGAAATGCAATGAGGGGGAATTATCATTTCTGTTAATACTTTCAGTTATGAAGGAGTGATATAACAGAAATATTCTGTGGCTAACTGTTGGCATTAACTTATGAAAACAGAAATTATTTCTTCTGCAACTATTTGTACATAATATTGTATGTCAATAAGCTGAAAAAAAAACTTTCCCGTTTATTTTTGGGCTTGAAAGTAAGGTATTTTTGTTTTGTTTTGTTTTATTCTCATGAGAAAATTTAAAAGGTAGGGAAAGAAGTAGGCTAGTTTTTGCTAGATTAGATTCAAGGATTGGGGTTTTACTGGAACTTTGTTTCAGTGAAATTTCTGTACCTGGGGCTCATCAAATCATCCCAAATACAATTGAAGAGTTTCACATAGATTTCTTTAACTTATTTTGATTTGACCCAACTGAGGCTCCATTTGAAAGGTTCTAAGTCTTGTTCTCTATTTTTCTGGACAAGTTCCACGAGGCAGGGATAGTTTTCTTGCTATATCTCCAGTGCTGAGACAGTTCTAGACCTACACTAGGTGCATAATAAATATGCATTAAATACTGAATGAAATAAATGGGCGTTGCTGTCAAGTGCATTTAACATGTTTCTGCCAATCCTCCCCCAGTGTGCATTTACCAAATGCTGGGAAGGTCCTGAGAGATTTTGATTTTAGTAATTTTAGCCACTAGGAACAAAGCAGGATTTGTCTCTGAAAGGATTTGTCTACAACTGTCTGCAGAGAAAACTTTCCTAAATCAGGCATGGCAAGCTGACCTATGAAGTGGATCTACTGTCTAACCCTTAGTCTTGAGATCATTTTAGTGACTGAGTTCAAAGGGAGAGTATGGACTGTGAACTTCCTAAGGTGCTGAGAGGAACAGAACTCAAGAGTCGAGGCTTTGAGTGAAGTAGGGGCTTAAACACTAGTGGTTCCTCCAACTCCCCCTAAAGATTTTGTCAAGCTGCCAGCGATAAAATGAGGAGAGAATGGAAAATATGATTGTTTGTAGACCAGATTTTGAGCTATGTAGTAGCTCTCCTGTAAGCTTTAGGAATGGCGGTAAGGTGGAGGGAAGTGTCTGTGGATGTCATTAAACCTAGGGGAACTTCATTAAATAAAACAACGTTAGACGATCCTTTGCCTCCTAAATTGGTATATTTACATTTTGCTTTTCAGAGGTGAGGGTAGCAGCATGAAGGGGCCTGTGAATGCTCTCAGAAGAGGCTTTCACCTGTCACGGTGCTTTACAGGTTAGGTGTTTGTGAAAACCTGAAAGAGAATGGCTAAACAGAGGATAGTTAAGCCACCTTTTTGAGGCTGGTCCTGGGAGCTCTGCCACCTCTACTCGCACCTGGTAGGCACCTGCCAGCAAATTGACCTTCTTACTTGGCTGTTACCTCAAGAGCATTACTGTGGTGCCAATCCCAACACAGGGATTCTGAACCCAGTCAAGTACAGAAAGGAGGGCATTTCTCATAAGGATCACATATTCATTTTGTTTCCTCTTGGCTTTTGAAATCTTTACACAGTAAATATATTACAAACCATATTCCACAAGTCGATTTGCAAAGATAAAATCTCTTATTCCTTTCTTATTATAATGCTGAGACAAATTACATTTAAACATCATGTACTTTAACTTACATCTCACATTTAACTGTACAAAAAGGCAAGTGAAACAAAACAGTATTAGAATGTTAGTACTAGGAATAGCTTTGGAGATCAATTGGCCCAGCCCCTGCTTTTCAGATGAAATATATAAGGTCAGAAGTGAATAGAAGTGCTCAGTAATACAAGTTAAGCAGTATAGTATTTTACCCATAATTAGTCATGTGAAGAAAAAAAATGTTGCCTGCTATTCCAGTTCTGCAAGGATTAAGCCATTAGCTACTGCAGTTGCTCATGGACAGTGCACCCCGAGGGGAATTCAAGATGGAGAAAAACAGGAAGTACGTTGTGCTTTGGATATATAGGCCCCTAGATAGTTAAGATGCATATCTAAGGAAAAATATCTTTCATACTTAGAAAAGCAATAAAATCATTAACTTGAGATGTCTGTTCTTTGGGATTAGCAGTAATCTTTTGATGTTCAACTACATGTCTGCTTTTATTTTCCAGCAAAAAATTAATGTATATCCTGACTGCTGCCTTACCTCCTCAAAGCCATTCCTCAGAGCTGAGAGACTGTTTCCTGGGCTGTAGTCCTCAGAAAGGTCACAGAATAAAACTTAACTCACAACTTTTACCTTGTGAGTTTTTCTTTCAGTGGACAGTATATACATTATTACATAGTATATATATAGTTAATATATACATAATTTAAACACATATTTCCCATAGATAACTGATGTTTAGAGAAACGCACAGATTTCTTGCAGTTAGAAAGTCACACACATCAAATATTTTTTAATCACATTGTTCACTGACATACTCGATTCTGGGGGGAAAAAAAGCAATGAGAATTTTTTTCTTGTGATGGGAAATTTTGATTCTAAGAATGGTTGATTCCCAAGCAATTGATTTCTAGTTCTCCTTTAAAATTTACTTCCTCAGAAACCCAAGAAATAATAGAGATTGCTAAAATTTTAGCTAAGCAAAACATTGAGCAACTTTTCATATTTTCAGGGGCTACTTGTCTTTCTTTTTTGTTTTGTTGACGTAGGTGTATGTCCTTTGCCTGTATTTTGTGAGGTGAACAGCGGTTGTCTTTGCATTCTTAAGTCTCAAGCCATTTACCCTTTGCCTGTGATATAAGTTGCAATTTTTTCGTTCATTTTTCTTTGCTTATACTGTTTTTTTTTTTTTTAACATCTTTATTGGGGTATAATTGCTTTACAATGGTGTGTTAGTTTCTGCTTTATAACAAAGTGAATCAGTCATACATAAACATATGTTCCTATATGTCTTCCTTGTTGCGTCTCCCTCCCTCCCACCCTCCCTATCCCACCCCTCCAGGCTGTCACAAAGCACCGAGCCAATATCCCTGTGCCTTGCGGCTGCTTCCCACTAGCTATCTACCTTACTACGTTTGTTAGTGTGTATATGTCCATGACTCTCTCTCGCCCTGTCACAGTACACCCTTCCCCCTCCCCATAACCTCAAGTCCGTTCTCTAGGAGGTCTGCGTCTTTATTCCTTCTTTACCCCTAGGTTCTTCATGACATTTTTTTTCTTAAATTCCATATATATGTGTGAGCATACGGTATTTGTCTTTTTCTTTCTGACTTACTTCACTCTGTATGACAGACTCTAGGTCTATCCACCTCATTACAAATAGCTCAATTTCGTTTCTTTTTATGGCTGAGTAATATTCCATTGTATATATGTGCCACATCTTCTTTATCCATTCATCCGATGACGGGCACTTAGGTTGTTTCCATCTCCGGGCTACTGTAAATAGAGCTGCAATGAACATTTTGGTACATGACTCTTTTTGAATTTTGGTTTTCTCAGGGTATATGCCCAGTAGTGGGATTGCTGGGTCATATGGTAGTTCTATTTGTAGTTTTTTAAGGAACCTCCATACTGTTCTCCATAGTGGCTGAACCAATTCACATTCCCACCAGCAGTGCAAGAGTGTTCCCTTTTCTCCACACCCTCTCCAGCATTTATTGTTTGTAGATTTTTTGATGATGGCCATTCTGACTGGTGTGAGATGATATCTCATTGTAGTTTTGATTTGCATTTCTCTAATAATTAATGATGTTGAGCATTCTTTCATGTGTTTGTTGGCAGTCTGTATATCTTCTTTGGAGAAATGTCTATTTAGGTCTTCTGCCCATTTTTGGATTGGGTTGTTTGTTTTCTTGTTATTGAGCTGCATGAGCTGCTTGTAAATTTTGGAGATTAATCCTTTGTCGGTTGCTTCATTTGCAAATATTTTCTCCCATTCTGAGGGTTGTCTTTTGGTCTTGTTTATGGTTTCCTTTGCTGTGCAAAAGCTTTGAAGTTTCATTAGGTCCCATTTGTTTATTTTTGTTTTTATTTCCATTACTCTAGGAGGTGGGTCAGAAAGGATCTTGCTGTGATTTATGTCATAGAGTGTTCTGCCTATGTTTTCCTCTAAGAGTTTGATAGTTTCTGGCCTTACATTTAGGTCTTTAATCCATTTTGAGCTTATTTTTGTGTATGGTGTTAGGGAGTGATCTAATCTCATACTTTTACATGTACCTGTCCAGTTTTCCCAGCACCACTTATTGAAGAGGCTGTCCTTTCTCCACTGTACATTCCTGCCACCTTTATCAAAGATAAGGTGTCCA